CCCCAAAACCCCAAAACCCCAAAACCCCATCATATGGTGAATATTAAAGTGAGGGTTTAAATAGGAATTAAATAAATGATAAAGATCGAGGTGAATATAGAAAGTAGAAAGTTTAGAATACAATCAATCATATTTTCGAAACAGTTGTATTAACTCTCTGAATTAAACTATTATCACCACCTATATCATTAAAATTCTGCTTTTCATTACTTCTATTAGTCTTAAACTTGCTCTTGTTGTTTAATTGGACTGCTCTCCTTTTTATCAGCAACTTATTATTCTTTTGCTGGTGATTCTTATTTCTTTTCTATATTGCTTGGCTTATCTGATGCCTCTTACTCAGCTTCAATTTTATGATCTTTGTGATGAGCTTCATCTTTATGTTCTTCATGAGCCTTATTCTCGCCATTGTGCTCTTCTTTGTGAGACTCATTTTGTTTAATGTCAGAATGACTATCATCTTTATGGACTACTTCAACATTCTACTTAGCTTCTTCTAAGTGATGAGCTTCTTATTCATTCTCAACAGAGTCTTCTTCCTTCTTTTCCTCTGCTTCTTGAATTTATGCTTGTACCTTATTGGCTAAGAAAGAAGCGATCTTGTTGTTAATATCATTAATACCCTCTTCTGAAGGTTTAAGTGATAGGCTTTCCTTGCCACTGTTATTTGAGGCTTTCTCCAAAGTGGCAATTGATTGACCATAGTTAGCATAGGTTATGTTCAAATCAGTTATTGACAAGGGATCAACTTCGATATCCTTTACTCTCTCTCCCTTTGAAAGTTTTTCAATGATTTGGTTATGAATTTAGAATTCTTGAGCAACAAGACCTTGCCATTCACCACAATCCTTAATTGGATCACCAACAGTTGAGTAAGTTAGGTAAGCTCTTTGCATCATCCTCTTGGCAGTTTGGCCTGGTTCTACTGGAATATTGAAAAGCTCGAATACTTTCCCTCTGAATATTTCTTGGTAGTTATCTGAGATTTCAGTTAGAATTTAAGTTTAGTCGTTCTAAGTGAGAGCTTTTGCTTTAAGAGCTTCTTGGAATCTAGGATAGGCAGCATGTCTAACACAAGCCAGTATTCTTCTAGTCAGCTTTACGTATGTCCATTTCGATAGCTCAGGATGAATTTTGTTATGGATTGGATCAACGTGATGCTTAACAGTAACTTAATCATACAAGTTTTGTATATCTTGCTAAATCTTTTTGACTTTTCTAAATATGAAATGAATTTCGATAAAAATTAACTTACGGATCAGCCTGATATTTTTTTATCCAAAGCTCCAGCATCTAAGTGCTGATGTTATTTTTCTTGGCAATAATTTCATCTCTAGAGTCAGTGTACCTAAAAATATCATTAATCTAAATTATGAGCATACTCATCAATTGTTTTCTTAGTCTGCTCATATATTTGATCATTGATCTTGCCTTAATTCTTAAAAGTCTCATTATTTCTGTGATAGTAGAGATAGCCATTGGCATAATCTAAATATAAATCCTCCATTATTTCATAAAGTTTTTCTGCTGTGTGCACTTTTGGATCAAATTTCTCTTCTGAGTCATCCTTAGATAGGAAATAAGCGCCAACTCCAACTAAATTAATTTATTAATCAAAGATCAGGTTGAGAGTACCGATTGCGAGTCCAGCACCTGCAAGTAAATATTTTGAGAGCGACATAGTTGATTTAAATTTATATTTAATAATTTAATATGTGGTAGTAATTAATACTGATAAACTTAGCTTTTTAAAAGAATTAATTGTTTTACTATCCTAAATGTAGATGATGTTCTGTTCAATAATTCAACTCTTAATCACTTTCAATTTTACTATTATTCTAAGACAACTTAGTCCCAATTTAGATGGGATTATTTAGCATTTGCAAATCATCAGACTCATAGTTAGAATTCTTTTTTAACATTTGACTATGATCGCTTCTTTCTCTTCTTCTTTTTATCCTACTATGCTGCAGAGATATAGTCTCCCAGCTAAAATTAGGACATAATGGCTGGATCATTCTTCACAGTCTATAGCATTAAAGCCTTTTCTAAATCACTATAAGCTGTCTTCTAGAGGTTTTAGGTATTTTGCAGATTTTTAATAAGTTCCATTTCAAGTGCTTCCATCTGAAGAATTTCTCTTTCTTTCTTTGATATAGTCTTTTCTTCCTTTTTAACCCTATCATCATAGAATTATTTAACATCATTAAGATGCTTTCTATCTTAAGCTTCCTTCTTTAATTTAGCATACTATTCACTTTATTTTATAATCTGACCTCTCAGAAGGTTCTCACTCTAGACTCTATTAAGAAACTTATCTTTCTTTTTTTCATTTTTCTTAGTGAGTTTCTTGATTTTTATTGCTTGGTCTCTCTTCATCATGTATACATCTGTTTCCGTTTTCTTTCTCTCTTCCTTGCGTCTCTTCGCATCCTCATAATTCATCTCCTATGAGCCTCTAAGATTATTCTGCTCCTCTTGCAAATCATTTTAGTGCTAAAAATCTATAAAAATAAAAGCCAATTTACTTGAGTGAGCTTTTCATAATTTTTAGACTTTAGAATCAATATATCAGTAGTCCTCTTCTTGGTTTCTTCTATCTTTTTCCAAGTTCTCATCTCCTCCTATTTTAGTAAAGCTATTCTGTTTGCTAGTAGTTATGCATCTTTTTCCATTCTAAAAATATTAAGAATTACTCTCAAAAAGATAACTGTATGAATTATTCTTGATAAATGTATCCTCGTAACTTACTTCTATCTAGTTTTCTAGGCATTCAGCAGGTTCAAGCTAGTGATACTTGAGAACACATTATTGTCATTATTTTCAAGAGTACTAAGCCTGGGTCTTGAAGGATCTTTTCGCATCCCCATGCTGTTAGAATGCCTTTGCTTCTGATTCTTGACTGCAAGTTCTTGGATACTCATACTTCCTCCATTTTTGCTACTAATTTCTGGAAGAATAAAATCATCTGGACCTTGATTTTTGCTGCCTCTAGTGTCCAAGATATTTCTCTATGAGTTGGATGTATAATTTCTATCGGGTGCGGGAAATTCCTCTCTATTTAGAGTTTGCTATCCATGTCTAACTTCAAGACTGTTGTTAAGATCTGCCATTTAATCAAATATAATTAAACTTTGAATAATTATTTTAATTAATTTACAAGAGTTTCTAAATATACTTCTATTTCAGTGAAATTTTAAGTAAGAACTTGTAGATTCTAAATCAAATAGTTCAGCTATGGGATATCATTTTTCAGAGTAAATTAGCTACAGTGATAAATACTATGATGAAATTTATGAATACAGACATGTAATTTTGACTGAGCAAGCTTTTCAAAGGATGCCACCAGGAATATTGCTGGCAGAACCTCAGTGGAGAGCTCTTGGAATTCAAATGAGCTAAGGATGGGAGCACTATTTAATCTTCAAACCAGAGCCCTTTGTCATGCTATTCAGAAGGCCATTGAATTAGATGTGAATCCTAATATATTTCTAAAATATACAACTAATGATATTGTAGCTAATGTTTGACTAAATTTTTCAAGTTCAATTTTAAGTGAGTGCTTTATCTAAAAATACCTTAATTTATTTAATATCTCAATAAATAATTATTAATAAAAAATGATGCAATTCCCCTAGAGAGTCTTTTTCAGACTCTATCCAAGCTAACAAAAGGAAACTGATACCTTAGAAGGTGATCATTTAAGAACCACTGTTGGTGTACTTTGCATTTTGCATTCAGTTTTCTTCCTTGTCTCACTCACGGTAATTGGATTCTACTCCATGCTTATGGAAGTTGCCTATGCTGTGTGGTTGTATTCTTGCTATTTAACTTTGAAAGAATGGCAAGTTGTCCTCTATATCATTGCACTATTTTTTGGTTTTGCTCATGGTATCTTCAATCTCTTCCAATTTAGTGACATGAGATTACTCTTCTACATTATTAACTTGGTTTACTATGGTTGTGCGCTGTTTTTCATAATCAAAAACTATAAGGACTTCAGAGTTACTGGTGGTATTCACGGTGCAGAAGGTACTTAAAAAGTAAAAGCACCTAAGGAAGTCAGCTCAACAAAAGGAGGAGAAAAATCATCTGAAAAGAAGAAAGGCAAAAAGACGATTGATTCCAAAAAAGAGGGATTAGTTGTTCCTTTATTAGAAGAAGGATAGAAGCCTCAACATTTAGATAATGATAATGAAAAAGGACCAGGAAGGGCTTGAAAATAAGCTAAGATATATAAATAAGCATTTAACTTCACACCGTATTCATAAATAAATATTCATTTTATCATATCCTTAAATTATATCTTTGGTGTTGGGGTTTTGGGGTTTTGGGG